AAAGGAGAGCCCCAAGTGCCTCGGGGCATATGAATGGGGTGCAAGTGTTGTTGGACATTCGTTGTTTGCCTCACATTATGAGACGGATGCCCAGGCATTTAGGTGTTGGGCATTTGGGTCTTTCAGGGTTTCTTTCTTCTTTTTTTTTTTTTTAACTTTGATTTTACTATTTTATCTTCCTTATATTTGTTTCCTATACTTATTATTGTTTAATAATTCTGAAAAAATGATTCCATTTATTTTCTCTTTGAAAATAGTTTTAAAAAATACAAAATAATACCATCCATGACTTTTGTTTCCTATTTTTTTTTCTTTTCTTTGATCACAAAATATAATTACTTTTTGCTCACATGATTCTAGATGGCTAATGTATGGTTACAATTATGTTATCATTTTACTTATTAGACAACAACAATATTTTTGTAATTTTTCTTAAATTTATCAATTCTTTTTGTATTTATTAGTAAACTATATACTCATACAAAAATATGTTGTATTCTTGTAGTATTATTGTATATTATATTTTTTATATTTTTTAAAAATAAAAATTTTTGAGTTTATGCCCTACGCCTCGAGGCTTTCGCTACGATTGAGCAGATATAAAACGCCCTTTTCAACGCCTTTGCCTTACAAAATATTGATGAATAGCATGACGAAGCTTCTTTAAGATTTTCTTTGATCATATAAAGTCAATTCCAAGGTCTATTCTTGCTAACTCTCACTTCTTGTTTGGACTAACTTCCTGCGATTAACTTACAAGTATCAACTTTTGTCTGGATTAACCTTCTTTGTCGTATACGTCTCAGTTTTTATCTGGACAAATTGACCTTCTGAAATTTACTTGTTAGTTTCGATTTAGACTGTAAATGAACCTTCATGAAGTCGTGTATACGTTAGTAAATCCACAAAAATACTCAAGTTCTACGAAATATTGCCTCTTCAAGTTATTTAAGTTATGCCACCATCAAGTCGGTTATTCTTGCCTATAAAAGAGGTGTAAGTTTTGATACTAAAGATTATCAATTATTTTACAGTCGTCTAATTTTCTTCCTCTTTGGTACCATTTGCACCGTAGACGCATCTCTACATGAATGTAATTACTTTCACAGGGCAGTAAAGACGAGGGGCGAAGCTATAGTCATTTCAGGCAACCCCAAGACTAGAGGTGTCAAAATGGATGACTTGGGCGGGTTTGGGTTGGGTAAAATGGGTAATGGGTATAAGTGAGTCAACTCATTTATACCCATTTAATTAGATGCACCAAGTCTTAGGAAGTTGAGGCTAGAGAGGATCAATTTCCATATGGAAGTGTATGTTGACTAGGGAACGTGACATTATCTGTGGGGCCAATAACGCACTATTTACTTGTTAAGTCGAGGTCCATTTGAGAGCAATTATTGAAGGCAAATTCATGGAACAGTTGTTTGATCAACATCATGACCCCCAATGGCTACGTCGTGCATGGTCATCCCCAAGTACTAAGCAACCATACGATGTCAAAGTAACTTTTCTGGTTTTGTCATCTATTCTATATAATAAAAGAGAGAGTTGGAGAATGAGTAGTGGTTTTTTGTCAAGCGGTTATGTCGTTACTTTTGTGACTTTCAGGGACGTTTTGGTCTTTTTATTTGATGGCAATGGCTCTGCTAGAAAATTTTTCACCAATTTTGAGGACGTTTTGGTCTTTTGGCATTGGATGACAATATGGTTTTGCTGGAAATTCGCTTCTGTCCGCGTGGGGCAAGTCATGCATGAGCTGCTATATTTTAACGGCCATTGGTATGCTTTGCCATTCTTTTTCCTGCCAACACGGTTCTCTTTTATCCTTTCTTCTTTATTGATACGAATCAGCGGAAGAAATTTCAGTCAAACTCAAGAGAGATGCACATGAAACTCCAGTCACCTTCCCCTTTCTAAATATACTTAATTATTTTGAATGCAAATTTAAGCTTTTCACTACATATTTCTTAAACTCATTTCTGAATTACATTTTTTTTATCCCACACAGGAACCTTTGCTGTGAATCACTACAAAAGAAAAAATTATGCAACCTTCAATTTAATAATAGCGCTGTGTTTGAGGTAGGATTGGCAATTTTTGTTGATCAAAATATCAAACCTCTAACAGTAGCAAATATAAATATTGAGCAATTAAGGCAGAGATATCAATTCTCAACATAGTGACACTACCATACTAAAGCCGAATAAGATAAGATAAAGAAAAGATTTACTTTTATAATGTTAACTTTATATCTATCTAAATATATAAAAGAGAGAGTTGGGTTATGAATAGGGATTTTTGTTAAGCAGTTATTTGGTAATTATGGGCAACTTTGATGGCTTTTGTATTTGTTGGCTTTTTCCTTTTTTTTGGCACAAATTAAAACATTTAATCAATATAATCACAACAATTATTTTTCTTTCATATTTTGTAAAATGCCGCTCACTAATATTAGATCATTAATCTACATTAAGAGCCATGTATTATTACATTGTTTTTGAAATTTACAGCACTTTAATTTTTTTAATGTAAGAAACAATCTAATTAATGTTGAGTGTTCTGTAAATACACAATTATTGAGGAAATAATTAATAAATTATTATTGGCTTTAGTGACTTTAAAAAATGGATTTTATTACTGCGACATGAAATAAAATTGTTTGGAAAAAAATAAATGCATATATTGCAAAAAAAAATGAAATAAAATAGTGCTCTGTAAAATTGTTGAATGTAGTGATTGTTTAGCATGTTCAGCAGTAGCTTTTGACGGCATGATTCCCAAAAATTGAACGGTAGTTAAAAAAAAAAAAAAAAGAAGTCCAACATTGTTATCACAATTAACCAAAATCGGTTAAGGTGTCATGGACTAAAAATGGTTTCTAATCCTACTACTTTTTTAAAAAATACATTTATAAAGATATATTAGTCTATATATCCATATTATTCTATATAATTATTACAAATTTTTAATGCCCTTGTTCTTATTCTTATTTTTCGTTCTATAAAAAAGAATAATTAGTATGTTATTTACTAATAGTCCGGGCATCCAATAATAATTGCAGGATAACCGTTTGACAAAAAAACGTTGTTTATGGGGCAACTCTCACTTTTATGTTGTTAGATAAATATCCATATTTAATGTATATATATAATTATTATAAAAGTTTTCCTAATGGCTCTAAATTTAATGTATATATATTCATTTTTCCTAATGGCTCTAAATTACTCTAAATTGAAAAGCAATGTTGTATGCTATTTTTTTATTATTCTTTTAGTCAAACATGCAACATTAATTACATTGTTTCTTATATTAAAAAAATTAAAGTATTGTAAATTTCAAAAACAATGTAATAATACATGGCTCTTAATGTGGATTAATGATCTAATATTTGTGAGCGACATTTTACAAAAATATGAAAGAAAAATAATTGTTGTGATTATATTGATTAAATGTTTTAATTTGTGCAAAAAAAAGGAAATAGACCCATGTTTATGGAATTTAGTGAGTAATAGAGATATATATAAATATAGACGGGTATCTTGATAATTACCTTACCCAAACCACATAATTTATACAAATCATACCACACAAATTGTCGACACTGCATTGTCTCAATTATAGTACTTTATTAACCATTATGTTACAAAATATCTTCCATACTTCACAAACTATTAACACTATATTCACCCAACCAATTTACCTCACTATTATTTCATAATTCAAGCCAGACTTATAATAATTATATAACTCTCTACATTATAAGAAATATATAACGGTTAAAAATTAAGCAATTTAACACGGGAAATATTAGCACTCCTGCGCAACGCACAGGCCATCTCGCTAGTTTTCTTATAACCAGTGAGATGGCCTGCGCGATGCGTAAGTGGGCTAATATTTCTCGTGTTAACTGCTTTTTATTGTGTGGATTCATTAGTATACATTTACGTCATTATCTAATTCATGCAGATCATTAGAGAATTATCGTTTTTATTCAAGGTCGACAATTATGAAATATATAGAATACATGAGAACAATAATATATAGAATGCATGAGGGTGCTTATATAGAATGCATAAGCATAAATTAGAAAATTGTATAAGGTTATTTTGTATTTAAATGAAGATAATTAGAAAATAATAAAGTGAATCATTCTCAAAAAAGTATTAATTATTGTTGACACAAAAAAGAGGGGACCTAGCAAGTCAATTAAGCACTTAAAACATAGAACTTGGCATTGTTAAAATTAATCACCACATGTCACAGTAATAAAACCCATTTTTTAAAGTTACTAAAGCCAACAATGGTTTATTAATTGTTTCCTCAATAATTGTGCATTTACACAACACTTAACAATTTTATTTGATGTCAAGCCAACAATAATTTATTAATTGTTTCCTCAATAATTGTGCATTTACAGAACATTTAACAATTTTATTTCATGTCACAGTAATAAAGGCCATTTTTAAAGTCACTAAAGCCAGCAATAATTTATCAATTCTTTCCTAGTAATTTTGCATCCATTGAATTGGCGATTAATTTGTAGTTTTGGATCCTAAACTTTGACCAATGATAATAAATTAATAATACGGTAGACATATTTTCGAAATTATTCCATGTAATTGGTGGCTAAATTGTTGTTGTCAACATAAAATTGCACATTGAACATTAATGAGACCATCACTATAATTAATTACAAAGTATTGAAATATTGCTAATTAATTACTAAGTATTTTAACCTTTCTCCAAAAATTAACGTCCTATTCTTCATGTGCGACAAACCCAAAGATATAATTTAGCTACTAAATCGTTCTACATAAAGGCTTATAAAAATAAAATAAAGTGGAAATTAATTGCTTATCATCATAATAACTTTAATATTATTATTGATTGAAATTGAATGAATAATGGGAACCGAAATGAAGTATGAACCATGGTTAGTTAATTGAGTCGAGAATGTGGAAAGATGATAACGTGGTTGGAAATTGTTTCATTGGTCAAACCTGGAGGCTCGATAGTCAACACCTTCCACCCACCTTTGCCAAAAATCCCGTGTTTTTCTAATCGCGTTAAGCGTTATCAGATTCCACTGATCATATGAATCAGTCACTAACAACAACCAAAACCCAAAAGACCAAAACGCCTCTCAAAATCACAAAAATAACGGCATAACCGCTTGACCAAAAAGCCATTATTCATTACCCAACTCTCCCTTCTATATCTTATTACTAGTGAGACGGCCTGCGCAACGGTGGACTAATATTTCTCGTGTTAATTGTTTTTTATTGTGTGGGTTTATTAATATATATTTATGTTATTATCTAATTCATGCAGATCATTAGAGAATTATCGCTTTTATTAAAGGCTGACAATTATGAAATATATAGAATACATGAGAACAATAATATATAGAATGCATGAGGGCGCTTATATAGAATGCATAAGCGTAAATTAAAAAATTGTATAAGGTTATTTTGCATTTGAATTAAGATAATTAGAAAATTATAAAGTGAATCATTCCCAAAAAAGTATTAATCATTGTTGACACAAAAAAGAGGGGACCTGGCAAGTCAATTAAGCACTTAAACCATAGAACTTGGCATTGTTAAAATTAATCACCACATGTCACAGTACTAAAACCCATTTTTTAAAGTTACTAAAGCCAACAATGGTTTATTAATTGTTTCCTCAATAATTGTGCATTTACAAAACACTTAACAATTTTATTTGATGTCAAGCCAACAATAATTTATTAATTGTTTCCTCAATAATTGTGCATTTACAGAACATTTCACAATTTTATTTCATGTTACAGTAATAAAAGCCATTTTTAAAGTCACTAAAGCTAGCAATAATTTATCAATTCTTTCCCAGGTAATTTTGCATTTACAGGACACTTTAAAAGCAAATAATTAACCACAAAAAATCAACTTTCAAAAGTTTCACTTTTTACACCACCAATTACCAATTCAATCAATGTGTCCCGTAAATGCACCAAAACTATACCTGCTTTATACAAACAGAACAGGCAATTTGACGAAAACAACCCTAACATCCAATAATAATTGCAGGATAACCACTTGACAAAAAAATACTACTCATAGGGCAACTCTCCCTTTTATATTATTAGATAATTGCAGGATAACCACTTGACCAAAAATACAATTCATAGGGCAACTCTCCCTATGGGTTGCATAGCAAATAGGACAAAGTTCTAAAAAATTATTATCCATAGGTGAGTACTATAATTGAAGAAGTCATCTAACCAAAAAGTTTAACACTTCAAGATAAATTATCAATATTAGACCATACTCAAGAAATTGAAGATGATCAAGGTAACATTCAAGTTCAATCAGATGCTGCAGAATTTTTAATTGTAACAATAGTAATGTATTTTGTAGGAAATCCAAAGGAAGAATTAAATGCTAATAAAACATTTTTAACAAATTTAAGATGCCCAACTTTGTCAGATTTTAGATGGTATAAAGATATGTTTTTAACCAATGTATTAAGAAGACCAGATTGCAATGCTTTATTTTGGAAAGAAAGATTTATTACAGGATTACCAAGTTTATTTTCACAAAGGATAATGGATAATTTACAAAAGAAAATAGGAACAGATGTTATTTCATTCGAAAATATTACTTTTGGACAATTATTTGCTTTTGTGAAAAAAGAAGGATTAATATTATGTTCAGAATTAAAACTTCAAATTAAGTATGGATCAAAAACAAAAGAAGTATGATCATTTTGTGAAGCATTTGGTATAAAAAGAATTAAATCACCATCAGCATACAAAAAGAAAAGTAAAAGGGATAAAAAATATTTAAGATATAAAAAATCTAATAAAGATAAAAATTATGAAGAAAAGAAAAGCAAAAAATTCTATAAAAAGAAAGTAGTTTGTTATAAATGTGGGAAAGTAGGACATAAAGCAAATAAATGTAAATTAAAAGAAAAATTAAATGAAATCTGTGCAGAAGATGAAGAAATAAAGAATAAATTAATAAATTTATTAATAAATGAAAAGGAACAAAGTACAGAAGATGATTATTACAAAGATGTAAGTAGTTCAGAAAGTGAAGAAGATTGTAATTGTAATCCAAAATACATAAATGTAATCACAAAAAAGGAAGATAAAGAATTTTTATTAGATATGATAGAAAAAATTGAAGACCCTTTAGCTAAAAAAGAATATTTAGAAAGATTAAAAAGTTTAATTATACAAGAAGAAAAGATGCCAAAAATAATAGAACCATTTAGCATTTCAAAATTACTAGACAAACATCCTAATATAAACAATATGAAAAAAGAAACTACTAAAGATCTGCAAACAGAGATTAATATTTTAAAAAGTCAAGTAAAACAACTACAAAAAGAAATTGTAGAATTAAAAACTAAAAATTTAGAAATAGAAGCAAAAATAACTTTAATAGAAAATCAACCTTCTACTTCAAAGATATTAAATACAGAAGAAATAGTTATTTCAAAAAAACCAGTAGATGAGAAAAAATATTTAAATACAATAGAAAGAATAACATTTAAAAAATGGTATGCCTTAGTCACAATAATAGTAGAAGATTTCAAAAAAACTTATGTAGCTTTATTAGATAGTGAGGCAGATTCAAGTTGTATTAAAGAAGGAATTATTCCTACTAAGTATTGCGAAAGAACAAATGAAACTTTGATGGCAGCAAATGGAGAAAAGTTAGATGTAAAATATAAATTTACAAAAGGCTCAATATGTAATAATAACTATTGTATTAGACATAATTTTATAATTGTAAAAAATATAAGTAATGATATAATCTTAGGAACACCTTTTTTAATTCAAATATATCCTTTTTTAATTCAAATATATGTGTATGGCTTACCAGATTTGATGATGCAAGGATTTGTGCAATCAGCCGGATTTCAGTGCTAGCTGGCACTGCTCTTTTTTGTTTATTTCTTTCATACAGCCTCTCATTGATGACTCTGTGAATGTAAGAAATGTTTTCTTCAGTCCTGTGATAGTAAAAGTAAATATGAGTGGTTATATGGATAGTTTCAAAAAAAAAATCAATAAAAGATAATAGTATATATATGTGAAATCATACCATGTTTTGAGCGCAGCAGTCTGATGTAATGGCGGATCCAGAACAATTGTGCTATTCGGTCTAGTGCTAATGTCAATTCCTAATTTATTGTGCAGAGAAAGTAAATTCAATTGTATTCATTTAAAGTAAATGTGAATAGCATGAGTTTGATGTTATTTGTATTTTTACCATGATACGTGGTGATTCTTGGTCGTATAATCAGAATTGCTGGTTGGGTGTGGATTGTGTTTATGAGCTCAACACCTTCATAGTAAACATAAGGTTCCCACATTGTGAATATCATCGGTCTGCATCTGCAATGTTGAAAGTGTGGATAACAGAGCTGAATGCAAATGATCACTTACATGTTCATATGGAAAATGCTATGTAAGGGAATTTATGTTTCTGTTTTCAGAGTTAAAATAATGAGAGGCTTACTCAGGATTGACAACTATGAATTTTCGGATTCTTCGTGGTCCTCTTGCAGTACTGACTATTTCTTCTGGGAATGCATGGATTGCTATACATAAGATATTTGCATGAGTATGAGATATTTGCAGTACTAAGTGATCTTCATAAAAATTGTAGCCCTTTGTCTTAGATTCGAAATGGTATAAATTGCACCCCAATCCGATAAGCATAGTTTCGGTTGTATCCGTTACGCAAAAACACGTCAAATCTGTCTTTTGCTAAACCTTATTTCTGCACATGTCGTTAGCTTGATTTTGTACTTGTATGACTTGGAGCCTATGGAATGACTATTGAAATGAGATGATTTTGTATATGATTTTGGGTTTGATTGAGGAAAAGAATGAAGCCATAAATGGGTGAAAAATATGTATTACAAAGGGCCTGCTGCCTAAATTTACGCTTGAGAACTAGGTCAATGTACTTGCGACTTGAGTAAGACTTGAGAGCGAATACCAGTGAACCATCTAAGCTATTTACGTTTTCTTTGCCATTTCGACTCAAATAGCGATTTTAAAGTTTTACAAGTGAGTCTAAGTTTTACAAATATTTTACTTATATCCTTTGGTTTCAATGTACTCTTTTCACTACCAAAATCATATTTATACTTTGTACTAGTACGTATTCGACTTGTCTTTGATTCACTTACATCTTTGATGGTTGAGGCATAATGTGTTCATTTGATTATTAGGGTTCCTTGGTGATTGAGAGTATTATCCGGAAGGAAACTTTGGACGTTATTTTGCTTAAATAGGTGAGTGTTTCTTGTTTGTTATATTCTCCTTGAGTTCATGACTTGTTGTTGTTGTTGTTTGATAATGTGTTAAGTGCTTTCAAGGATTTTCAAAACGAGTTTTCTTGGCGAGCGTGTACTTTATCGCGCTCGACCTAAATGAAACGTAAAATTTTCAATGATTTAATGATTGATACATTAGTTGTGCATGATGTAAACCTTTTGGCTGAATTGGGCTTTGCCCTTCGTTACCGATCGATTCGAGTCAGAAGCGGACTCGATCGGGCGATTTGGTGACCCTGGGTGTGAACGTTGGTATACTCGAGTATTACCATGTTGTCGGGTGGAGTCCGACCAACGTCCAGATGGGGGTGAAATGAAATGAATGAACGAGTGGCAATGAAAGAAATGAAGGGTTTTACTTATCAAAATGCATTTTCAAATAATTGGAGGAATAAGGCGAATGACAGGAGAACGAACGAACGAATGAACAAATAGCTCCATGTGAGCCCGTATCCTTTTAATGAATGTGTTATTATTGCTTTTCATTGTAAATGTTTCTTGAACTATTGATACTCTGTGTTTAATGTATTGAATTGATTGTTTGATTATGTATTCGGAACCTTACTGAGTTTTTAACTTATCTCTTTAGTTTTGTTTTCCTTAACAGGGGACGGCGAGCAGGACGAGAGCTCGGTAGAGACTAGCCAAGACTAGTTTCTTTGATTTTGTAATGGTTCTCGCCCTAGTGCTTGGCACGGGCTGAATGTGTGGTGAATTGAGAACCTTTGTATATTCGATGTTTGTACTCCCTTTTGAAATAGTGATGGATATAAGATTCATTTAAATTTTGGATCATTGTGATGTTTATTCTTGTGGATTTATTCTGGTTTTGATTGAGAATTGAAGTGAACGACTGAGTCCCGGCGAGAGTTGGGCGACGGTCCGCCGAACCCTTTGGTTCGCCTTAGGGAGAGGTGGGGCCTTCACAGAAACTGAAGCCAAATCTTCGTCAGAAACAGGTATTTGGTACTCAGTTTCAATATCTTTAGTGCAGCTATCTGAGTACAAGAGATGATAAGGAATGTCTGTCAGGTTGTAGTCATTTATATTTTTTCCCATAATCTGCATATACTGATCAATGAGTCTGAGGACTTGAATTTGTAGTTGTTGCTGTGATAATGCCAAATTTTTTTGAATGTCTTCTGATAGATGATTTCTATACTTCAACCAAATAGCTCTTGGATTTGTTGGTGGACAATGCACAAGTAAAACAACAAAAAATTGTCTTAGTGAACTTGGCATGTTGTATACAAGTGCCTCAGATCAAAACCATTGTTCACTTGAAGCAGTCCATGAGCTTCTGCTGCCTCTTTGTATGAAGATGCTATATAATCATCAACAGATTTTAAGTCATCAAAGGAGATTGGTTTTCTTACATGCATAAGTAACATTCTGCGGTAGTATCTTTCTCCTTCAATGAGGTGCGCTGTGTTAACACGGCCAATGACTTCTCCACATTTTCTATCCATCCATATTCGATCACCTTCATCCCAAGTGAAATATCGGAGAAATTATTTGTAGAGACAATTCAGATCCTGTGCTCTTTTATTTGTTCGATTCATAGAGAAGAATTCTGTTAACATTGTTCTTGAATTTCTCTCACTAGCAGGACATCTTCCAATGTTTGATTTTCAGCAAATGATATAGACTGACGATTTTCTAAATGCAAGTGCATTGTCATTACTGATGGATGAATACTGGTTAAATTGAATGCAAATATCCTCCACATGGCTTCAGGAGCACAAATCCATCTAGCAGATTGAAAATTCTGAATCTCATCAATGATATTTTGTGTTTGTTGAGAAGTGATCTGATACATAACCTTGTCGTGTCCTTTGTAAATATACTTCACTGCTTCAATACCAGAGCATATCTCTACATTAATGTGGCAATCAAATTTTGCAAGCAGATATGCATTATATGGAACAATCCATCGATTATCAAGTGTGTGATTTCTGATAACAACACTTCTTCCATAATTACGTCTTCTGTAAACAGGATAAGAGTTTCTTCCATGTTTAGTGTATGTAGAAAAATCTTTTGGATAATTATTTCTGTACTTGCCATTCTGACGCATACATAGGCTACTGGGATTTAGCACACCACATGGTTCATGAACCATATGTTTTAGCACCAATGAATATAAATAAGGTGACTCTTTTGGATCTGATAGCTCTGCAGAAACAATTCTATCATATGCTTCAAGCGAAAACATCTTCGATCTTTGTTTGAGAATAATTAGAAAATGAGCATGTGGTAATGCTCGTTTCTGGAATTCAATCACATAAGTATAAGCTGCAACTTCACCAAAGAGATTCTTCTTGAATAAATCATCCTTTAATTGCTCAATTTTTGCTCGAAATACTCGACTAACCAAATCTGGTCTATTTTGGATTTCATCTTCATGTGCTAAATGTTTTTTAATCTCTGGCCAAGATGGATTGCACGTCATTGTAAGGAAGATATCAGGTTTTCCATACCGTTGAACAAGCGACATAGCATCCATGTATCTTCGACGCATATCTCTCGGACCTCCTATAAGACTTACTGGAAGAATAATTCGCTTTCCAATGTTTGATGCAGAAGTTTCACCACCTATCATAGTATCCATCAGTCCTTTATAAACTTCAGTTCTCAAGTGTTGCTGCCTATGCTTGTGAAATTCCAATTGTGATGTCTCTAGTTTAATATATGTTTCCACTGAATACTGTTGCAGCAGTCTTCCTATGTGTAACATATTTGATTTGTCATCGTCCCTTATTTGGAATTTGTATGCATAGTATTCACGGCAAGAGACCGTTGGTCTCTTAGTCTTCCTTTTTTTTGTTGCTGTGGAAAGTACAGAAAAATACCAAATACAAATTAGATGTATAGAAATAAAATATAAGCAAATTTGCATGAATAGCTTGGAATTGTAATTAGAGAATAAATAGACAGAAAGTAAATATACATAATTGAAACATAAGAGAATGTGTATCAAAATTTTGAATCCTGATTAGCTATAAGGAGCAATAATGTAAAGCTGCAATTGAATGGTATTTAGCAAAATATAAATAAATCTAAGTCAGTGTTTTGGTACTATAGCTAATTGTGTAATTGTTATTTATACCTTTTTCTTCAGCAGATATAACTTCATCTACGTGTGAGCAATTCTGCACTAAGACAATATTTTCCTTCTGACATGTTCCGGATGACTGGTTAAGAATATCTGATTTTGGTATTCGTAGTATGCCCTTGTGCCATCCGGTCTCACCTCTTGCAAATATAAGAGGATATTGAAGTGTATCATAGCATCCATAGTACTGTTTTAGTATACGCTTATTCCCTGCTTTTGTGAAGATCTGGATATCTCTAATGCCGTCACCAGTGTTATGATCATTTTCATTCCATATTGCTGCTACTTGAGATACTGTAGGAAGATTGTAGACTCTTTGATCCATACTTGGATCTGATTTGAGGGAAATCTTATAGTGTTCAGCATCATGAAGGTCCACCAAACTTCTTATGAAAGTGGAGTAAGGATTATCATGTAGAATATCCTTAAGCTGTTCCACAATGCATTCTTTGAACTTGCTAGAAATTGCCATCCGATTTGCTATCCCATGCTCTGTATCATAGAAATATAACTGCAGATTTGTTGCTCTTTCACCCTCAGAAGGAACCAATGGGTTGATGAAGTGATAAACCTGGCCTTGCACTCTAAATGTGTATATACTATTATTCCTTCTACTTAAATCTTTGTCATAATGAACCCCCAAGGATGTGAAGGCAAACATATTATTGTAACTTCGGATGCACAATCGAAATTCTCTAGCTTCAGGAGTATTGGCCTTATAAAGGTGAACCAATTTTTCTGGCATTTCAGTTTGTACTAAACGAATTTCACCTGCTGAACAACAGAATCTCGGTGGTTCCAAATAAAATCGTTGAGCACAACAAAACATACAATCTGGAACTTCTGGCAAAACACTTGGCTCAAATGGTATTCGCTCCAATAATGGTATATTCCTTCTTCTGTGATGCACACCTATACCATATGAAATGCAGGTCCTTCTAACTAATTGAAAGAATAGACAGGTTGTAAGAGATCCAAAATAGGAGCACACACAGATTTTCATGCAGGAATTTAAAGTATATAGCTACCAGTTGAATGTTGTGGATTGCTGGTGGACGAGGAGTCTTCATATAGAACAGTTGGTAGCAGAGGTAAACAATGGCTCAGAGTATTTGTTTCAAAAGTAGTGGAAGAAATGGTGTTATCAAAAAGCACATGGTCAATTGCTGTAACAGCTGTTCATATAGCAAAAACAAATGGTGATAGGTTGTTACTTATCATATAAATTTAATAGCCAGTATAGAATATAAATTCAAGAGGCTGAAAAATACTTTGATGAATAGCATCATTTGTGGAGCTCGAATGCATGATTGGCTTATCAGAAAGTTCAACGATAGGCATTTCAAAGCACATACACTTAGCTTTCAACAAAGCTGAAAGTGATACATGATTGTCAACAGGCACATCAACAAGTGTATGATATGTTGAAGAAGCAGGCATAACATCTGTGTTGCAGCTGTCTTTGTTTTGATGTTCACTACGCTCTTGTATGTGCTTTTGTTTCTCTGCTGCTTTCTTAGCATATCTTTCTCGCCGGCGCTCATTAGCTTGTATACGATATTCTTCACAGATATACTTGCGTTTTCGGCCCATATTAGAAGATGGATCTTCATAAGAAAAAGCGTAGAGGCCATAATAGACGTGATGGCAAGTTTCTTATAGTATAAGATAGATAATAACTCCAAAGAAGAGAATTCATAGAAGAAGGAAAAAGATAGAAATATCATAGCTAAAAGAAATTCCAAACGATGATCGCATGTAAATGAAATACAAGCAAAGCCACAAAATCAGAGTAAACTATGCAGCAAAACCACACAGCCAGAGTAAACTATGCAGATAATGGACGAACATGCAAAATTTGAGTTTAAAAGAAATGCCAGTACATCCAAAGTGGTGCAACAAAAGTCCAGACTGTAAATTAGACAAAAAACAGCTGATACAAAAAAAAGCATAAAGCAAAAGAATGTCAATATTTTTGACACAAATAAAAAGCGGCAATAAATAGCACAGAACAAAAGAGTAATAAATAACAAAAAGTGTCATTGCGGTAAAGAAACAGAAATACAGGAAATCATAAATAACACAGGGAATTATAAGGGTTCAAGAAAAAAGCGAAACAAAAATTAGGAGTAAACGTACTTGCAGAAGGGAAAACTGCAAAATATTAATTCTTAAGCTAAAGTACCTTATGGCAAAATAAATAAGAGCAGAAGTAAAAGGTAGAAAGGTATAAAAATACTATAGCAAAGAAATGGAAAACATGTTCAACAATTTAAAAATCACAAAGAAAAGGAAGGGCGACAACTTAGAAAGCTAGTTAAAAGAGAGAAAGAAAAAATATGCATACAGAACACAACATGCATGGAAAAGTTCATCACAAGCAAAAAGCATGGACACAGAAAAAATTGAGACAAAGGAGAGATAAATTAAGATGGTAACTCACTAGTAAGAGAAAGGAAGACAAAACACAAGAGCCAAACAAAGCAAAAACGCAGAAAATTTGTATAGTTTTTGCAGAAGACAGAAGAAATAGAAGATAAAAAGAAAAGGAATGAGAATAGCGGAGAAACTTCACACCAACGAAGAGTACAGATGAGATAAGATGGCTCAAATGTCTAATGTAATAAGAATGAAAGATTAGCTGAAGATAACTGGCTATCCATGCAAAATACATGCGGTATCCATGCAAAATACATGCGGTATCCATGCAATATATATATATATATCTATATATATATGTATAATATCATTAATGACGTTTATGCAAGAAGAGTGGAGTTTCTAAGAAACGGAGTGGAACACAAACAGAAGAAGCACAAAGATAGCTCAAAAAAGAAACTGAAACCGATAAACAACCGAGCACAATGGATAATGGAGAAACCTGACATTAACATCTAATGCAGATGAAACAAGATGGCTCAAATCTCAAACTGAATAACACTGAAAGATAAGCTCAATATAGCTGATTATCCATGCAAAATACACGCGGCATACATGCACTATACGCTGGCAATGACATCTATACGAAGAGGTGCCTCAGTTCATATAGATGCTCAAAACCAGAGTAAAAATGGCGGCAGACAAATATGCGTAAAAATGGATTTTGCTTGAAGATAATGGTTATCCTGCGGGGAACAGAATGATGAGAAACATGTGCTATCTCATGGCTCCCAAAGCATGAAAAAGACCACGATGTCCAAAATGCATGTATAAATAACAGGATAACCAGGACAAAGGACAAAATGGTCCAAAAGAAAGTCAACGAGGGAAAATGAATCGAAGCAAAATAGAACCCAAACAAGCTTGCAGCTCAAAAAAGACAACAAAGGGGAAAAATGTGAACCAAATTACAAAATAACCGGCACAAATCACTGTTCATCAACCTTCCACGGTTTATGTAGTGTAGGATAGGATACATTGTAGAGCTTCTATTATTGCAAGTACATAGGTAGTACACGAGTATAACAAATATCTGAACATCAATTCCATAGTAAAAATTATCAATTACTAGAATGTGATTCAAACTCCCTTATTATTTAGACTACCACAATTAAAGTAAGTAAATCTATTTTACAAATATGCAATAAAAGTAAGAAAAATGATAAGAACAAGGATCCTAAGGTTATAGAATTCCTTAGTACTCTTACAAGTATTATGAGTTTTTATTTTTATCTAGACAAATATTCTAAATTTACTAGTTAATTCCAGTGTAGTATATGGATGAACCTTCATGAACTTGTGCATAAGTTAAGAAGTTCCTAGACATGCCTACACTTGAGTTCTGCAAAATATTGCCTTATTAAGTTATTTCTTATTTCTGTTATACCATTGACTTAATTGTTCCTCAAGTCAAGTTTATTAAACCTGCCTACAAAAGGGAGGGTAGTTCAGGGGGAGAGATGGGTTGGGTTGTTCAGGGGAGAGAGTATAAGTTAGAGGTTTCGAATTTGAATCATTCCACTTACGCTAAAAAAAAAAAAAAAAAAACTTGCCTACAAAAGAGATGTAAGGTTTGATATTAAGGATTATCTATTATTTCCTAACCATTAACTTTCTTCCTTCTTCTTCCTCCTGTTTCATACCATATGCATGGTGGACATGTACCTATAGGAATGAAATCACTTACAAGGGTAATAGGGACCACTCGATTTTTCTTCAATTCTTTAATCCTCTTCTATTCTTCCTTGTCTAATTCTATAGATCAAAACACTTCCTTCTAACAGCACAATTATACATCTAACCTATATCAAAATGTAAACAACTATTTGACTGCGGGTTGGAGGCATTTGGACAAATATATTCAATTATTTCACATTTTAACTTCATTTTTTCCTTTTGCATCTTCATATTCTTTTGTGGGATGAGATCTAGGAATTGTGGGGCTAACAAATTGGGCAGAAGCATACTTTTCTCCACTAGATTGTTTTGAATTCGTTCTTTTGAGGCAAAAGGCAACTTCAATATTCCTTTGTCCGATAAGAATAACAATCGTGGGGGTAACAAATTGGCTAGAAACATTCTTTGCTTCATGAGATTATTTTTGAGTTTGTTCTTTTTAAGGATTGCGATTCTTTACTTGTAAGTAGTTATGGACCATCATTCCTTCACAAAGTAAAAGTGACAAGGAAAAGATAGAAGTCATGATTACCATTCCAAAGGCCATAGGACAGAATGTTATAACTACGTAGCGAAAATGGGATTCCAACTTCCGGTTACACTACAAAGTATGCTCTCTCTATCTAGCAAAGGATTTTCTATTGTACAAGTCTATGTTACATCCATGTTATACCTCAGGTTGGTGTAAGTTGTTGAATATTTGGTGTATCTTTCCACTGGGTTAGTGCATATCAAGACTTATAGCAAATATTGCAAGACTTGCACCAATAAAATACAATTTTTGTGTGAGTCTCGTGTATACTAACTTGGTTAAATATACACTAGATATTAAACAATTTACGTTGACGAAAGAGTGTAACAGGTAAGTATATAATAGAAGATATTTTGCTCTCTTTCCCCTATAAATGTTTGTTAATTTTAGTTATAGTTTCTCAACTATTTAATAAAAATTTTGTTAAGTAATAAAACATTCTAAAACAGCTACCATATTATTACTGAATAATTAAGGTATGCATGTGAGTTTAGATATGGTTTGAGTCTTGATGAGGATCTGAGTTTGGATTGTACAAAATCAAACTCTGACGAAACCTATAATTTTCATATAAGGTTTGAGGATGAATATGGTTTGGGTTTAAATGTTAAGACCAAAAACAAAAAAAGGATCGGTTGGATTGGGTTTGTGTAAGATAGATTTATTGGCATGCCTAGCATATCTAAACTATACTTAAACATAAACAAATTTTCCTTGAGGTTGGACAAAAGGGATTTGGGACAGGCAAAGTTGTGGTTTCATCCAATTTTGTACAATTATCATATTTACTATATTATTAGGTGTATGATCATATTATATTTATCTGTAAAATAGTAGGTATATAATATATATGACTAAAATATTACATGTATATTCTATACAACAGGTTTGATGCAAGGATGGAGTGAAAAATTTTAGTTTGAGGGAGCGAAATATATATGCATATAAACTTTTGAATCAACTTGACATTTTTTTGAAAATTTTTGGTTGAGGTAGGCAAATAGCTTAAAATACATAGGAATTTTTCAAATTTTTCAAAATTTTAAGAAAAAAAATGAAAATCAAGAACTTAAGAGAGGAAAAAGGGGAGAAGATGGTCCTTCATACCCCTCCATAGTTCCGTCCTTGGATTGATGTGCACTTAAATATTGTAGTGACTACAAGTAGGCAAAACCATATATAATATAACGGCACCTTCTCCAAATTCAAACAGGGTACTTGTATACATGTGTACATGACGGATGCAAGAGGGGTAGGGAGGCGCAAGTGCCCTCTTAAGATTTTAGAAATTCTTTTATATCCCTTAAAAATTTGTTAATATTTCACATACGTCCTTGTAGAAATTAGATTTTGCCCTCCCAAGATTTTAAAAGTCCTTTTATACTGCCTTAACGTACTAAAAATTTTCACTTGTATCAATGTAAGTACCCAAAATTTTTTAACAAAAGTATAAGAGTGCCCCTTAAGCAAATATCTTTATAAATTTAGCCACCCAAATTCCAAGCTTTGGCTCCTCCCGTGTATGTGTGTATATATTAGACATAAATATATTGAACAATGCATATAACAAGTTAGATCTTGTTTTTCACATGTTAACTCGAAGTTCGCCTTTTGCATCTTCAATATTCTTTTGTAGGATGAGATCGAGTCATCGATGGGCTAAGGAATTTCCCAGAAGCAATCTTTACTCTACCATAATTGTTTTGAATTTTGCTTTTTCAGGCTCTGATTCTTGACTTGTCCTCATAATATTACTCGTCCAAGTGTGTAACTTTATTTCCTTTAGAACAGTAAAAGTGACGGGGGAAAGAATAAAAGTGATGGTTACCATTCTAAGGAATATAGTATGGAGTGTAATAACTACTAATCAAAAATGGGATTTCCATTTCCAGCTGCATTAGCAAGGTATCAAATCCATTCCCTATAAATTTGCCTTGATGTTGATTGTAGTTTCTCAACTTTCCCACTCATGAATTCTTCGTCCCTCATTTTACCTATTCACGACTTCACTTATATCTCTTAACAATTATCTGTTGAGATCATCATCCTGATTTTCAATCAATCCAACAAAAAGAGGTATGTGCTTATATTTTTTAATCTCTCTTTCGGTTCAACACCTAAGTATGTTTTTTTTTGTGGTTGCATAACCACAAATCATAATCATAATTCTGCATAATTTGTCATAATGTCCATGCATTGTTTAAGTAGAAGTACGAGAACAAGAAAACACGGCTATGGCCTTCTTCTACCACCAGGATTAAATGGTAAGTTTTCCAACTAAGTATTAATTTTAGCTGTAAAGGTAATAAGTTTTGTTATGATGGTGGTAAGACATAACATTATAACCAAAAAAGTACTATGTTTATAACTAATGATTGTTTACTTAACTACACCCAATGCTTATATAACAAAATTAAACAAAAATTGTTCTACTCCAAACCAATGATGCCGATTATAACAAAAAATAAAATACCCACATTGACCCATAATAAATAATAACCAACAAGTACATGAGTTGTTATAACACATATCTAGTTGATGAGCCATGAGAAGATCCAGATAAGAATATGAGTAAAGTAAATAATAATAATAATAATAATAAAAGTAACCCACAAGCATATGTATACCGATCTATAATATAATAATAACCAATAAGTACATGCATTGTTATGAATGTATTTAATTGATCAACTAGCCATGAGAAGCTCCTTGGATAAGAATATGAATACAAGGAAACATATATATAATTCATATGTTAGTATTCACACGACTTCAACTTTCAAGTGCTTGCTTTGGGACTTTTAAATAATTTGAGAGAGTTATTTGAATCTTTTATGGAACAATGAACTACTTGGTACATAGGCATTTTAGTAAATTCATTTTTTGACGCTATGTGTAGGGAACAAAAAAGTGCTGATAGCTATTAACAATGCATGTTAAGCCCTTGAGATGATTTCTTTTAAATTTGGTAAATAACTAAGAAGGCCACTAAATTTCTAAATTCCTATAAACAAATTTTATCCTCAAATATAGTGGTCCCTTTTTATAGTGAATTCTTGACTTCACTCCCTTGTATCTTCTTCTTCCTTCGACTCTCCCTTCAATGGCATTGATCTGCTTTTCATCATTCTCTGCATTATCGATTGTAACTTCTATACTAACTGTCCAAAAAATCTATGCTTTACCATTGTTTTGAAACCCGAGTTGAACTGGTCGGTTTAATCAGTCAGACTGTGAATCAGCCATGATTTTGATCTAGTTCATACTTTGAATTGATTGGATTTAAGAACTGGCAAGAACTATGTGAACCATTCATATTAGAATGAACAATTGAACCAGGTTTTTTGTTTCTGGCTATGATTTTTGTTTCTACTACTATATATTTTTGTATGTTAATAATATATTGGAAGGAATTATTAGGTATATGAGGAGCTGATTTTGGCTTTGCGTAGTTTAGGATTTAAGTTTTGTTTGTGAACAAAAACTTGGACAATTGAGGGTGAATAAAGAAAGGAAATTTGGAGAAATTGCACTTGCAATTTCTGGAGTTTACATGGGGTTGAAGCTTTTAAAAAGACAAAAGGACTTACTACAAAAATCACTATTATCTCATAATTATTTTTAAAAAAAACTATAATGTACCAAATACCTATGCCTATATATAACAATACTTTACGTAAGTACAAGGATCATATGCATCCAAAATCTTCTAAATTTGGTGATAGTCACCGCGAGAATTGTGCATTCAAATTTTCCTATCTAACTCATTCGAAAGTAATGTGTTCCAAGAAGTTGAAGCAATTGTGTTCCAGAAAGTTGGATGCACCAAATCTTAAGAAAGTTGACATAGTAGAGAATGAAGCCATCCTTGTGGATTTAAAGGTACACATATCCTAATTCTTTTAATTTCAACTTTTAATTTTGTGTCTCACTTCACAATATTTTAGTTTCCCAAGAGTTGAGATATTAATTATATCTGAGTATGTATTTCACAGGAATCAGAGATAATCTTTTTGAGGCATTCAATTCTATGATTGGTACAAAAAGAAGAGGCAAATAGAGTTGTCTGGATGTTAAGGTACACAAACGTCATAGGCTTGCAAACTCTATTGTTCTGTTTCTTTTAGCTTAATCTCGTATATCTTTACTTTTATTTTTCTTTTGGGAAGATGGATGGTGATTTTAATTTTCAATATGTATTATGTATACTTTTTTATTGATATTGACGAATTAGTGCTATACTCGCATGACAATTGAATCTGGTTTGACTTGTTCAAATGATTAGGACCCTGAATAGGTTTTTATCTAATATACATACCTTTTTAAAAAAAATTTTTGTTTAGTGTAAGTGAGAGCATTCGAAGTTGAGATCTCTCACTTACACTTTCTTCATCTGATCTAATAGACACACTTAACTATACTCACTTCCAATCAACTTTAGTGTGATTAACATTTGTGCTATCTTCAAATTTTCTATATATAAAGCATAAGGAGGGGATTTCGTATTAAAATTTCATATAATCTTTTACATTTTCAATTTTACCCTTACAAAAGTAAAGATTTACTAAAGATAACTACTTTAAGTTTAGTAAGTTTTAATAACTCCCACTTCCAGTAACTTCTATTTTTTTGGTTTGTTTCCCTATGAAAAATCATAACTTCTTTTTTTTATTTGTCAACAAAAAATTCAAATAACTTCTATTGGTTTTAACAAAAATGACTAATTTTTTTTCGTAATTTGTACACCCACAGGATGTGCTTTTCTCACTAATACAAATAAAAGCAAGGTTTCGTGAGTAGTCTCTAGATCTGGACCAACTATTTTGTGTATTTAAATGCACAAAATAGATTTGTGTTATACATTGATGAAGAACTTATTCATTGTTTTACTAAATGTCGCAAGAATTGGTTGGTGGTTTCTACAATGTACACGTGTTAATTTGATTAAACTTTGATTAAAAGAAGTCATTGTACATTTTTTTTCTTCAAACAAAGAAGTCAATTAGACTTCCATGTCTAATCTCCCTTTGGGATTTCTAAATTCTACAGTTGTATTGGTTCTACTAGTAGTAGTTTTCCGAGATGACGTTTTGGGTCATTGCTTTATGTCAAGTCAAGGATTTTCTTATCTCCAGATTCCTAAATTCCTTAAATTGTTTCATGTTCATCATAATTTTTATTAACATCAAAATTATCATGAATTAATCATGATTTACTCATCAGACTTGAAATTATTTCAAATTTAAACATGTAGAGAAAATACTTAATAGAGGTTTTGAGACTTTTCGCCTATTTGAGTTTAATAATCATGCTAAATCAATATATATGTCTTTTGAGTTTTCTTTCATACACATTGACATACTTAATAGAGACTAACATACTGGGTTAAAGCGGAATGTTTTGTCCCCACGATTGTACATTGACGATATTTCATCAGTTGTTGGACATATGAAAACTTATACTTTTTGTCAAACAAGTGAAAATGTAATATATTTCTGCACCAAACTGTACCTCTTGTATTTTCCAAAATAGTTCTAAAAAAAAAATCTAAACCAATCTATGCGAATATATTTGTTGGTGAGAACAGTTTACAAGTTATGTAAACAATTCATTAAATTCACTTCAATGCCTAACATTTTTTTTTCCTTCATTGTACTTCTACTGTTACGAAATTATTATTACTTGATTTATGTATCCATGAATCTTTTTCATATATTTCATGCAATTTATTAGATTCCTTTCTCTATATCTTTCAAACAACACAATAATAGAAATTTGAACAGAATTTTGCAGTGATGGCCATCCAAGATATTGCCCTTTCAATTGTGGGAAAAATTGCAGAGAAGTGTGTCGATCCAATTTTGCGTCAATTTCAGTACTTAATTTTCTGCAAAAGCAATGTTAAAACTCTGAGTGATAACATCAAAAAACTTGAGCTAAAAGAAACTGAGGTGCAACGAAAGGTAGATCGAGCAAAAGACAATGCTGAAGAAATTAAACCAATTGTTGTTGATTGGTTGAAACAAGTTGAGGATGTAAAGAAAGATGCACATGCTATTTCTGAGGGTATGGAGAATGCTAAGGTGAATTGCTTGAATATTGTCAGGCTTCCGAATTTGAAGTCATGCTATTTGCTAGGCCGACGTGCGGTGAAAAGAACAAGTGTTGTTGAAAAACTCTTAGGAGAGGAGCAATTTGATCAAGTTGGATCCATTGCTCCATTAGGCAAAATGCGTTTTAGTGAATCAACCCCATCCTTAGAGGAAGGCCTAGTTTCTAGGATGTCAACAAAGAAGGAAGTGATGGAAGCTTTAAAGCAGGAGAAAACTAGCCTAATGGCGATTTGTGGTATGGGCGGCGTAGGCAAGACTACTCTAGTCAAACAAATTGCTGACCAGGTTAAGTTCGAGAAATTGTTTGATGAAGTTGCCATGGCAACTGTGTCTCAAAGTCCAGACATGAGAAATGTCCAAAATCAACTTGCTGAGCAGTTAGGGCTGACAATATCTGAGCAAACTGATCTGCCAAGAGCTGAAAGATTGTATACGAGACTGATTGGTCATGACAAGAGAACTCTTGTTATATTGGATGACATTTGGAAAGAAGTTGATTTTAAGAGTCTAGGAATTCCCGTCAAAGGTGAATGCAAGAGCTTAAAAGTAATATTGACATCTCGGCTCTTTGATGTGTGTAGTATTATGGGAGCTGAAATTGTTGTGGTCAATATGTTGCCTGAGGAAGAAGCATGGCATCTTTTTAAAGAGAAGGCGGGAATTTCTAATGATTTCATTTTGAATGATGTTGCGAAACAGGTTGCAGGGGAATGCAAAGGTTTACCTCTTGCAATTGTTGTTGTTGCTAGGGCATTAAGGAGCAATCATACACTAGAATCCTGGAATCGTGCCCTTCGACAACTAAGAAAGGACAGAATGGGAAACCTAAAAGAAGTTCAAGATTTGCTATTTTCAAGGATTGAATGGAGCTATAATCGTTTGGAAACTGCTGAAATGAAGTACCTACTTTTGCTTTGTAGCTTGTTTCCAGAGGATCATAGTATTCCAATTGATTGCTTGGTTAGGTATGTAAAAGGGCTACAGCAGTTCCAGGATACAGAGACATTCAGAGATACAAGAGATCAAGTAGACATGCTGGTTGATCAGTTAAGAAACTCCTATTTGTTGCTAAATGATGGTGGAAAAGAAGACCATGTAAAATTGCACGATGTCGTGCGAGAGGTTTGCTTGTCAATTGCATCAAAAGCAGAGCACGAGTTTTTGGTGAGGAATGCTGGAGTGGGAGAAAAGAATTCTTACACTGCAATTTCACTAATATCCCAAGATTCCAATCATGATCTACTTCCATTTTGCAAGGAATATCCAAGGCTTATGCTATTGCGTTTGGTAATCAAATCAGGGAAATTAAACCTACCAAAAGATTCTTTTGTAGGAATGGAAGCTCTTAGGGTCATGGAGTTAAATAATTTGCACATAGAATTTTCGCTATCATGGCCTGGCCAAATGTTAAGGAGCCTTAGAACACTGTGTTTGGATTATTGTTACTTGGGCACTGGACTGTCGGCAATGCTTGGACACGTGATGCAATTGGAAACTTTGAGTCTCTTTAAATCCAAAATTCAGGATGATCAGTTTCCAGCAGAAATTGCTTGGCCGCGCAATTTAAAGTTGTTGGATTTGAGGGTTGAAAGTAGCCTCCATCCTTTGCCTAGTGGTATCTTGTCAAGTTTGAAGAAACTAGAAGAATTGTATTTGGGATTTCATAGTCAGTTGCAGCTAGGGAGAGATAAAGAAGAGGAAAGCGGATGCCTTAAAGAAATCTCATCAATCTCTAACCTCACATGTCTCCAAATTGATTTATGTGACCTTAACCTCCTACTTCTACTATTGCAGGAATTTGATACTCAGAAACTGTCAAGATTTCATATTGTAGTAGGTAAGTATGGAAGAAAATTGTCAGATCTCAGCAGAAACTACCAATTTCAGAATAGCTTCGAACTTTATTTCTCTCATGATGAACCGTTGGATGATTTGTCTAGCACTGAAGCATTGAAACAAATGTTTGATCCTAAAGTTACTGGCATTATCGAGAGAACTGAGAATCTCACTTTGGGTCTTTCTGGATCAGCATGCTTGAGGAATATTGTGCCTCACTTGGGTGGAAATGGATTTATCTACTTGAAAAAGCTTGATCTGAGCAAAGGACAATATGAATGTCTCATTGATTCTACCACCAATCCTATTGCTCGACATGCTTTTGAAAATTTGGTGTCCATGAAGTTAAGAGATCTGAAGTTGAACAAAATATGGTACGGATTTCTTCCACCTTGGTGCTTCAGTCAACTCCAAGAGGTGGAACTTAATTATGTAAGTACTTTGGAGTTTTTGTGGAAGGAGCCAATCGAACCTCCGTCATTTTGCAATCTTAGATCTATTGAGGTAAGAAATTGTGATCAAATGACAACTCTCTTCTCGCAATCAACATTGAAATGTTTGGTGAAACTCCAGAAGTTAGTAGCTTATGACTGTAAAAATTTGGAGAGCATTGTTTTGAGGGAGGAAAGTTTGAAAGAGGAGGTACTTGAGCTACCCCAACTCAAAGTCTTGAGCCTTATGTGGACAAACTTGATGGGCTTCGGCTCCAAAGATAATAAAGCCGGGGTTTTTTTTGACCAGGTATCGCCTCTCTCTTTCTATTTGTGTAATAATTATATCCTATACTTGATATAGTTGAATTCAGGTGAACAACTGAAAACACACTCGAGCACTTCCTTTTACAATATGTTAATCATATTTTCAAAATCAATGTTTCATCAATTATACTCTAGGCCTTCATCATTAATAATTAGTTTTTTTTAAAGGTTCTTTGGCACATGAACACACCCGTCTATGCATAGCGAACGTCCCTGCAAGTGATTTTTCCTTTTTTTTTTTCATAGACTGCTAGCAGCTGCACGGATCCAAACTCTACTGTAACTACATTTTGCGTTTTGTAATCAACATTATGTCGTGGTCTACGCTAAGTTTTGCCAAATTTTCCAGGTTTCACTCCCTTGCTTGGAAATACTAGAGATAAATAGTCCTGGTGATGGCCCCGAACTACTAATAGGAGGTAAAATGCCTAGTAGGTCTCTTGACAACTTAAAATCTATGCGTCTCTGCCATGGTGACTCTATCCGATGCATTGCCAAAGCTGATACGGTTTCACTATTACAAAACTTGCAAACACTTGAGCGGTGGTGGGGTAACATGGAATTCCTTATCGACTTTGAGGGTCTAAAAGTTCCTAATATGCTATCAAAAATGGGACTTGAAATTCTTCCCAAACTAGAGTCACTCGACTTATTTGCCTGTCCAAGGTTAACCCATATTTGGAGGAATTTTCCTGAAGGGGTTCGAGTATTCCAAAACTTGAGAAGTCTAAGTGTGTACAACTGCCCTTTAAACTGTTTGTTTTATCCTCCAAGTGTGGCTACGATGCTCATAAGTCTTGAGAAACTGAAAGTTCGTAGGTGCTCGAAAATGTGTGGAGTTATAGGTGAGGAAGATGAAGAGGTCAGCCAAGAAGATAATGCTCAGCAACATGATGCTGGAAAACATGGAGAAATTGCACTGGAAAGAATCAGCAAGGAATTTGTGTTTCCTAAATTAAACTCTTTGTGGTTGGAAGACCTTGAGAATCTTCGAAACTTTGGTGGTAGTCATCGGGAGGATTATGAGTTTAAATTTCCCCTGCTCACTAAATTGTTCATAATGAGTTGCCCAAAGTTGAAGAAATTGTGTTTCGGAAATTTGGATGCACCATTGCTTAAAAAAATCCAAACGTCGAGAGATATAGAGAATTTTGAAGCTCCTGTGGATTTAAAGGTACTAATATTCTAGCTCTATTTTCAACCAACCCTTTTAATTTTATCTCACTTCACTAGATTTAGTTTCCCTAAGGGTCGAGAATGTATATTTTGAATAATTATTTCTGAGCATATTTGTCTCACTTCACTAAACTTAGTTTCCTAAGTGTCGCAAATGTATATTTTGAATAATTATTTTTGAGCATATTTTACAGGATAGAGAGATTTGTCCTGATGATGGAGTTGTTTGAATGGACATTAAGGTATGTCTTTCTATATTCTCACAAATTTTATCTATTCCCTTTCTCCTAAATATTTATATCTTTTTCTTTTTCCTTTTTGGTTTGGGAGGAATGGAGGTTATTATTACAAGCCGGTGCATTTATGCTTTTGATCTATATGAGTGAATCAATGAATAATACTATATGACAATAGAAGCTGATTGATTAGAAGACATTATTACCCTAAGTTTTGAAATTAATATGGTTTCGTGTTTTTGAGTTAATATGGTTTGCTTTTTCCAAATATTTATGTAAAGCTTTGAACAGATTTTCAGGTCACATACATATTTAATGATACTTCTATAAACTTTGAGTTCACATTGCTGGTTTTCTTATTAGCTTCTTTGATCTTAATATTACTATTTTAGATAAAGCTAGTGCTGTGAAATCCTGTTTTCCACTATGAAAAAAATGCAAACCTTTGTATTTCACCTTTCAAAGCTCCAATCTCTTCAAAGATATAAGTGAATATTCCATGTAGGAGTTGCTAAAAAAATCTTGAAACAGAGACAACAAAAAGTAAACTATAGCTACACAAGTCTGAGTGACAAATTGATACAGTAATTCCAATATATAACAATGTACATTTGTTTTGGACATTATGCATCATCGAGTTACAATATTCATGTTTTTTATTTTTCCACACAATACTGTAGGAGTCATCAAGTTGATTGAGTAATATGGGTCCGGCTACTACGATCTTGACTGGTGGACAAGGCTGTTGGATATCGATGGAAATCTTAGTTGTGTTAATACAATAAGTGTGGAACTTATATGAGCATTAATACTTTTGTCCTTGATTTTCTAATAATAAGTGTATTCTATGTATTGTATTATGGCTTTACACAATAAATGTATTGTCTGCATTGTATCATGACTTTCAAACTATAAATGTATTCTATGTGTTGTGTCATGTCCTTTAGATATAAATAATGAAGCTATTCTAAGTGGATTTCAAAGTATAGATATCCTAATTCTTTTTCGTCCTTTGAATTTGTCTTTTAATTAGTTGCTATTACTTTATTATATATAGTTCTCGTGAAAATATCATTCAATTATATATTTCTGCTTAGATTTCATTTTCACCCTTTGAATTTGTCTTTAAGTTACTATCACTCTACCATACATAGTTCTGGTGAAAATATCACAATTATCACTCCATCTTCCACACGCACGCACACACACACCCCAAAAGAAAAGTTTAAGCAACATTAGAAGCAATCATTAGGACAACCACAACAATAGAACATCTCTTCTTCTTCCATCCACCTCCCATTGAAAATTTAAAAGCACCAGCAGATTAGTATGCATTCCAACTACTGCTTTTATCATCCACATCTTTCTCACTCTGCACTAATCTTGGACCACACCTGCATCTTACCACCACATACAACTCTATAGATGGTCCTGATAGGCAGACAATAAAAATATTGGAAAAGCATGCAATTTGTAGTTGCTAATTCAGACATAGAATTAGGAGAATAACGAAGAGTATGGCAAACCAGTTTGAAACAATCAGGCATGCTAATTTCGCTACATTTCGACTACATTGGAGTTGCTTTTATGTCATTTTGTATATAATAGTAACATTACTAAGTCACTTACAATACACTCAGAGGATTATTTGTACATTAGATAATTATGAGAATAGACACAAAAGGGTAATGCTACCTTTCCCGAGTGGCTTAGTACAACCAAACTATTATAATTCAAGAGGAAAATTTTCCACCTAATTAAAAAGTGACTCCGGGGCAGAAAGAAAATTGACACAAGCAACGGTATTAGAACTCATACAACTACCAAGAACAAATGAATGCAGCGCTCTTAGACAATTAAGGGACTCCAATTAGTTAGTAGACTTTAAATGAGTATTAGGTGACATAAAACTTGTCATAAACAATTAAAGCACTAGGAGGGCTAGAATTAGACCAGAAAAGGGCTTCTTGATTATTTAACTAACTCGATGGTGGGAATTTTTCCAAAATGACTTCAATTGCTTCAGTCTAAAGCTTACATTTAAAAAGAAGTTTATTCTTCTTTGTCTACAAGCTACCTAACTCTCAGGTTAGAGACAAGAAGTGGTCCGATTTTAACATCACAGGCTGCTATAGTGCATTCTATAGAATCTTGTCATTCCAAGGTCTAAAGCTCACACGGTGTACTTGAGACCACGAAACAAGACCCCAAAACAACTCAACAAATGATTAGAAAAGTATATTACAGTTAAAAGGAGGAAAAAAAAAGAAAAACATAAAAACTCTGGAAAACAGCCTCCACTTAATTATATTTTATCCCCTTGCTAACCCTAAGTACCATAATAAACAAGGGTGGGTAAGGTCCTACTTTGTCAAACACTTGAAAACATTACCATGATAAGTGGGTAAACTAAAAGCAAAGTTGTAAGACAAACTTTACTAATTGCATGGGCATAAACCGGAAAAGATAGTATGCTGATAAAAAGAGCGTTATTTGCAAACAAGTTAAATTGCTAGGACAAGGGAAAATCCCACAGCACAGTAATTCATGTTCCACCAGTCACTGATAATAATGACAGGAAATAGAAGATGGAACAAAATACTGTATATATTGATAAGAGTTTATTTTACGTATTTTTAAGTGCATTTTATTGGTTAATTTTGAGTTAATTATTTAGTTTTATAAATAAAATAAAGAGGTTTTTGGTGAAATTATATATTTTTGGTAAAAGTGGATAATATTGCATTTTTAGTAATTTTAATGGTAAAAACTTCATTTTTATGCAGGAATGATGATTCAATCACTAAAGGATGTCAAATGAGATGAAAAATAGAAATTTGGTGATGAATTCAAGTGGTAACAAGAAGAATGAAATGAAAAACGTTCAAGTGAGGAGATACAATACAAATCAGTTTTGACACTCTTCGGTATTTTGACCATATCTGGAGCTACACTTCCTGTGTGCACAAAACAGATTTAGTATTTACCAAGAGATTAGGGAAAACTAATCTGTTTTAACCCATTATTATCATGAGAATGTGATTTTGGTATTGTTGGAAATGAATCCTTGGTTAAACAAGAGTAGTAACAAGTGTTAAATTAATTCGTTTTAGATCTTTTGTATTATATGTGGAATCTACATCCCTAGATCTTAATATTTAGTGAATTCTACTCCTATTGTGAAATTGCATTTATCTAGCTAAGAATTTTTGTAGTTGAATTAAATTCTGAATTTTCTGCTCAAATTTATTGTGAGTCTAAATAATAGAGTAAATTAGTATCTAATAATTGTTCTAATCGCTCCTCGTGGGATCGACCCGATACATACCCAATATTACGATTTTGGCCTATATACTTGCAGTAAAACGGGTATAATTCGGAATTAAACTTGCACTTAAAGTAAAAACCCGTCATATATCACCATGAACCAACCTTTTCTGTAGCAATCTTCAACTTCTTGCCAGCCATTGAAGGAAGAAAAGAATATAATAAGAGAATAGCAGTAAGGTTATTCTGATCCTTGCACTCTATGAACTTGAATGATTACCATGATTAATACCTATAAGAAAATTATCAAGATTCAAAAAACCAAGCCCATTGAGCTTCACAAAGAAATTTCGGCAATGAAACTGTAATCCTCGGTGAACCTAAACTTAGAGGGAGAGAGTGAATGACCAACCCAAGCACCATTCAACAAGTTAAAGAGCTCAAAGCTTGGGTCTTTTACCAACCCAAAAACAAGATTAAAGAGCCAGCAACAGTGTGTAACAAAATCGTAGTTATTGATTATTTGTAAACAAATAATTGAATGCAAGGAGGATGGACTGTATTGGATTGATGCACATTCTAGAAGGCATTACAAAGGTTCTGAAATGTACAAAAGGAGCAAAACACAGGAATGAGTCGGCCTTTTTTTGCAAAATATTGGGTATTAGAAAAGGAACAAAAACTTGGAATGCTAAGTCCACCAATCATCAATAACAGTTGGTTTTTTATTTCTTGAGTGAGTAAATAGAATCAATGAGCCCATGAAAGTGGAAGATCCACAAAGCCTGTAATCCAGTAGCACCGGAGCATAATGCTAACTGCTCCAAGTCTTTTAAGGGTTACATCCATAAAGTAAGACTTCCAACTGAATGTGAAAACAGGTCCTCCAAGCGCAAAACACTAAGAAGAATGGAAGGCCTTAAAATGCAAAAGTTTGCCAGAGTAAGCTAAAATCTCGGAAGTCAAAATTGCAGAACGTGCAGGTAACTAGAACACATTTGTTTTGTCACAATTGTAGATCAAGTCTAGCAAAAATTCTCATTTATATGTAACTAAAGTTGCATGCTACCACAGCTCACCCTGTGCTGGTTTATCTCTATATGCTAATTTCATCAGCTAACCTCATATTCTTGCAAAACCTCAAACAGTACTTTAAATCATAAACAACATTCAAGCAATGCAATGTGAACTTGTGTCACCCATAATTAGTACTCTAAAACTCTCCTCTTCAATTACAAGTTCCCGTCTTTCCCAACAAAATCCTAGAGAATTATGGGGCTGCCAGTGAAATCAAATCCAATGCTACATACTCAGGTGAAAGCAATATTCTTCTACTCCCCTAGGCACAGAATTCAATTGAAGGCACTTAAATATCCATTTTTTAATTTTCAGACATCACCCTCATTCCAAATGATAAAATCTATAACCTTCTCAATCAAAGTCGCTCAGAAAAGGGGGAAAAGGAGAATAAAATAGAGGATGGACTTTTCTTTTATATCAGTAATAACAACAGTACTTACCAAGAGAAAATCAATCTATCTCAAGGTAAACTACACCAGATTTAACAATTCACTTCTAGTTAATACCAGAAGATGATGCAGCTTTCCTCTTTGTCAATACCACACCCATCTTAAATCCAATCAGAGTCGCAAACAGAACACATTGTATGCCTCGTGTGTAAGCAAATTTTCTTACAATACGATTATGGCAATACACTTGTACTTTGCATTGCCAATGTTGTATATAACCATATCTTTCCTGATCAGTAAAATTTACAACTTTCTGAACCAAAACGAGTAACAAAAGGGGACAAAGAAAAGGAAAAATCAAAGGGAGATGAACATTCTTCTATATCGATATTATACGCATTTTACTTACCTAGAAAAACCAGACCATTTTAAGACAAACCACATCATAGATAAACAATCAGTTGTACATAACACTGCAAAAAGATGCATGCAGATCTCTCTCTTCTTCAAAATTAGATGCATTCTATATCCAATCAAAATCACCACTAGACCCATAATAGACACAATGTATAAGCAGAATTTTTTAATCAATACTATATCAAAATTCACTTGTACTTTTGCCAATGTTGTACTTTACCAACACCTTCTATCATGAACCTTCATCCTTCCAGTGGAACCCCTCAATGAGGAAAGTTGGATAATGAACCAGAAGAGATAAAAACGCAAAAATTTCAAAGCCATGACTAATCAAGAATATTCCTCTCATTCTCCTTATAGTAAAGGATCAGTTAACTCTCCTCTCCCCTGTCAAATTTTTAACACATCCAATCAAAATCATCAGTAAATCCAGTAATACACATGCTGTACAACCAAAACTCAAAACTCTTCCTCTATCACCGCAATAGCATCTCTCTTGTACTCTGTGCTAACAAGATTATACTTTGATATATCATGCATAACAAAGCTCCATATTTTACAACCAAAACACCTCCAAAACGAGAATTAACACAATAAAGCAGCAAAAGAACAAAAACCCACTAGTCCAACCATTCATTTAATCAAGATTATTTCGTTTTCCGTTTTAGTTTTTTTACCGCCCAAAAAAAATATTTACCTCTGAAGATACATTGCTTCCTCAAGAGCACACCTGAGGCTGGACTCTAGGTGGCCAAGGCCTTCACAAGACTCACAGTACTTCTCACGACAGTCAATTCTATTGCCTCAATACAAATACTTCTCAGAATCTCTATGATTCTTAGCACTTTTGCTCAGTATACTTGCTCCAGTGATGGAATAAAAGAACTCTTCTGTGGAAAAGAAAGAAGATGCAAGATAGAAAACAGAAATGCAGCCAATGGTAGCTGTACGAACAATAAGAATGGAAGATCTGGGTAGTGGTCTCTATCGAGGTTTTCCTCTCTGGGTTTGGTGTTCAAAGAAAATAGGATTTTTTTTTCTGTTTCTATTTCCCTTAGGCAAAGAACCTAAACAACCCTCCAACTTTCATATTTTTATACTTTTAACCCTTCATCTTTTGAGATGATATTTCATTTTTTTTTTAACTTGTACATTATATAGGCTGTAGAGTTGAACTTTTCACAACGAGAGTTAATTAAGTTTACCCCGCTAGTGGTTTGTCCAAAAAAAAATTTCTTCAATTTTATTCATATATTTTTTTTCAAACAATTCAAATGACCAATTACCTCCTCTTTTTGAAACATACAAATTATTGCCTATTTGGATTGTAGTTTTTCAAAGAAAAATTTTTACGTTTTTCATGAACACATTTCTGAATCACTTCTTATCTCACATATGTCAAATCACTATAGTACATTTTTCTTAAAATAAAAAAAAAGCAATCTAAACATCCTTTCAATCCAAAGTACACTTATCTTTTGTCATTTGTGAGTCATGACTAGGGATGTAATCGAGTCGAGTTGAGCTCGAGTATGGCGATACTTGAGCTCGACTCGATATGCAAGAAAGGTGCTCGAGCTTGAGCGAGTAGTATTATTGGAACTCGAGCTTGAGCTCGATGCTTGCTCGCAGAACTTGAGCTCAACTCACATGAGCTCGAGTCAATACGAGCCTTATCAAGCTCGATCGAGCTCGAGTTAGAAATTTTCATTTTCTTGACAATTTTTGAGCGAAAAGGCATTATTGCCCTTTAAAAATTTTTATATAACTTGAAACATTTCGTAAATTCAACAACTCTTTTGGATATAAGGCTAATTTTATAATAATAATATATTAAATAATTAAAATTAAAAAGCTTGATAACGCTCGACGAGCTTTCGAGCATTGCTTCTAGATGCTCGAACTCGACTCGTTTAGTTTATCGAGGCGCTCAAACTCGACTCGAACTCGATTAAATCGAGTTCGAGTCAAGTTTTTGACCAAGCTCGCGAGCAGCTCGGTTTGATTACATCTCTAGTCATGACATCCAAAGGCCACGATAAAAAATAACAAATAACTATTGTCCAAATTACATTCTACTTATAATACATTTTTCTCAAATGAAATTTCTCCTAGTTATGGAACCAATTAGATTCTAACCTTTGAATAACAAAGTGTTCATCAATGATTCACTTTCAAGGCATTAATTAGACAAAAGTGACAAAACAAATATATAAACAAAAATAGTGCCAAATTAATTCTTGTAGGTTAGGCAACCTAACATTTAACCCTTTATAGCTTTTAAACCTTAGCAAATAGTTGGATAGCTATACTTGTCAAAAACAAGAACCTAAAATACACAACTATAATAACACCTCTTATAATATCACCACAAAAAAGGCCAAAAACATTTTTTTTAAAGATACTTTATTACTTATGGAGCAAAACCATAGCAAAGTTACAGAATGTCCCCCACCCGGTCTGGCTGCTCTTCCTCCCTTACTATCCTTCTAACAGATGACATGCCTAGCTTATCTAAACGGATCTCCCCCTTCGCTAACTTTGGAATTATGCTAGTGTTGTCATACATAATACAAACCTGCTGTGGGTGAGAGACACCCACATTGGCCAGAATATCCGTCACACGGTTGGCTTCCCTGTAGCAGTGAGAAACTCTCACCACGGCCGCTGTCAGGTCCCATATTTGCTCTATCTCAGTCCGGATCTGCCACGGGCACCGGAAACGACGCTGGATAATCCCCACTAACACCTGAGAATCCGATTGAAGGTCTACTTTTACAAACCCTTGCTTCACACACATCCGAAGGCCGGTTAGCATTGCGAGGGCTTCCGCGTGTAAGCTCGATCGTATGCCAAAAAAAGCCGAGAAAGCTAGTATAGGCCCTCCTGAAGCGTCATGTAAGATGCCACCGCCCCCACTGCAACCTGGGTTACCCTTGGAACACCCATCCGTATTCAGAGTTAAACAGCCTGGCCATGCCGTCCACCGCACTATCTGAAAGCTAACTCTGCTGCTTGGACGGCCCTACCACTCGTAGAGCTGAGGGAATGAGAGCAAACCAAGCCTCGTATGAAAATGAATCTCCACCGCTGATCTTATATCGGACGAAACGGCTTGGCAAATGGTTGTCGGGTGCATCCGGCTCCCTTCGAACATCGATGCGTTCCTCACCCTCCAAATGTGCCAGCAAATGAAACTCGGCATCAGCCCAAAAGCATCTAAAAACACCAAAAAATAACTTAAAAAAGAAAGCAAAAAAGAGCAAAACACATATAAACACATATATGTCATCATCATCACTCCTTCCCTTTCCCCCCATTATATTCCTTTCTCGGTAGGAACTCTATTGAGCCAATAGCCCTACTATCGATCGACTACCTCCCCTATAACATCTCCTATCCATCCATCTTTCCTTACCCTATCAATCCTCATTTCTATAAGAGAGGGAAAGGGAGTTTGACAATAAGAGAAACAGATAAGGGTTTGACAATGGAAAAGGAAAGGCTGATGGATGATAAGTGTTAATCTTGTATGTTTTAAGTGTATATTATTACTTGGTTTTTGGTGTATTTTAATCATTTTGATAGCTAAATAACTAGATTTTAGTGAAGTTTGCATTTTGTGGTTTAAATGTGAAAAATTGCATTTATATGAAGATAAGTGGTAAAAACATCATCTTTTTGTAGGTTTTTATAATTTAATCATCAATTGAATTGAGATATCTAGATGATTTTTGATGATTTGAAGCGATCTAAAATGAACATGAAGTATAAAATCATCAAAATCTGAAATGTAATCAAGTGGAAAAGAAGAAAATATTGGTAGCTCTGATACCTTTTGGTATTTGGCTATATATTGAGCTCTAAGCATTGGATTAAGATGTTCTTAAACCATTTTAAAACTAAAACATGGGGATGCATTTCTGATGAAGATATCGAAATTCAGTTCATACATTTTCATGGTCAAAAAACTAAAACACAGTCACGAATTTTTGCTGCTAAAGACTAAAACAAAGTTCTGATTAATTGATGGTATTTTAGTCATTTCTCAATTAGTTCTTGATGCATTGGAAAATAACTCAATTACGTACAACTTTCATGTTTTGTGCAAAAGTTAGTTCAACTTCCATCATTGAAAAATTTGTAGTTCGGTGTTAGTGGACCTTCCATCGGATTCTCAGGTGTTAGTGGGGATTATCCAGCGTCGTTTCCGGTGCCCGTGGCAGATCCGGACTGAGATAGAGCAAATCTGGGACCTGACAGCAGCCGTGGCGAGAGTTTCTCACTGCTACAGGGAAGCCAACCGTGTGGCGGATATTCTGGCCAATGTGGGTGTCTCTCACCCGCAGCAGGGTTGCATTATGTATGACAGCACCAGCATAATTCCAAAGCTAGCAAAGGGGGAGATCCGATTAGATAAGCTAGGCATGTCATCTGTTAGAAAGATAGTAAGGGAGGCAGAGCAGCCGGACCGGGTGGGGGACATTCTGTAACTTTGCTATGGTTTTTCTTCATAAGTAATAAATAAAAAAACAATTACTATAAAAAAAAAAAAAGAAAAATTTGTAGTTCAATTTAGAGCAAAAATAGAGCAATTTCCAAAATCATAAAAAATGTGCAAACCTGCAAGGGAGGAAAAACGGCGACCTAAAACGCGACCCTTCACCTGCGTTTTGACCCCACATATTCACATTTCGGCTACTTTATAGTTGGAAATAGTTGCACTTCAACTTGTAGTTCTTTCCTACTAAATTTTTGACCAATTTTCTGAATGGATTTTGGCTGGAAAGTGCAAGAAATATCTTGGAGACTTGGAGAATCAATTTTTGGAAATCTTAAGGCACAATTTGTATAACTTGAAACATGATTGTTTGGAGCAAAATCTTCTATAAATAAGGCCTCCTGTGTACATTTCTTGTAACTTTGGAGTCTAGAGAAGCTACATAAAATGTAGTCTTTCACTCGAACTTCCTAGCTCATTAGTGTAGTATAACTGAGTATAATTAGTCTTATCCAATCCCTGTATATAGCTAGACATAGATAAAGTTGATGATGAAAATGGAGAGTTTGAAACTCAAGTGACACGGGTGACATTTCTTTTATCACTTTATTTCTTGTATTGATTTTCATGTTTAGTGAATATACAAATTTGGTTCTTGTTTGTGTTATATTTAGGGTAAAAAACAAAAAAGCCCCCTGTGGTAAGCCTAATATACAGAAAAGCCCCCTATGGTTTCAAAATATAGAACACGACACCTCATGCTTTGAACTAAATTGTAAAGGTGACAGAATCCGTTAAATTTAACGGAAATGACTTATTGGAAAATAAAAAAAAAATTTATACCTAATTTTTATCAAATATACCTATTCTACCCCTTAACCCTCAATTCTCTCTATTTAGAGAATAAAACAAATAATTTTTTTGAGTTGTCTTTTGGTTAATTATATCAGGGCATTTTGGTAATTTTGTCCATTTTCTTTAAGTTTAACGGATTCCGTCACCGTTACAATTTAGTTCAAAGCATGAGGAGTCGTGTTGTATATTTTGAAACCATGGGGGGCTTTTCTGTGTATTAGGTTTACCAGAGGGGGCTTTTTTGTTTTTTACCCTTATGTTTATGTCTTGCTAGTTTTTATGCCTAGGGGATGAATGAACTTCTATGATTGTTAAGTGAATTTTTCATGGTTATTTGAGTTTATTTCTTGAGCAAGTCATTTAGCACTTTTGTTATTTCAATCATGATTAGTTAGCCATTAGTTGTGATTATCTAAAGGTATTGTTTCATCAATGGCCATTATGATTCAATACTAGTTCAAGAAAGTGTTAAATTTAGGGAGTTAATTCACTAATATAGGGTTACACCTTTATGGCTTTGGTGGCTTGTTCTATGTAATTTCATAGAATTTAATGAATCTATATCTAGTTTCATATCATGTTAGTCAATATGGAGTAGTTATAGATATGGTTGGTATATTGGGGAAAGCGTATATTACAAACATTTGGAAATTACGTCATAACTAACCAAGGTAAATGA